CTGCTTGCTCTATTGCAATTCCATAACCTACAACTCAGGGGGGAAATTCAGCAGGCTCTGACAGGTACTGGAGAACCGGTAGCAGAAATTTTGAGTAGTTTGGAGAACCGGCAAATACCACCTCTAACTAGCCCCAGAGTGGGGTGGGAATGGGGATCCTTCCCCTGCCACATCCACCAAGCCACACCCACAGAACCAGCAGTAAAAAAAAATGAATTTCACCATTGCTACAACCTACATTTTAGGGAACGTAAAGAATTTGGGACTGAACAAGAGCAGTAAAACTGAATTGATTTTGAAGAATAGTGAAAAAATAAATGTAATGGCATTTTTATTTTTTGAGGGTGCCTTTAAAAAAAAACTGAACACATGTATCTTTTTTAAAGTTATGCCAAATGGAAGCAGCAGCTAACTCTAAAATGTTCAGAAGTCTTTCAGTGTAAAATGAAGAAAGCATCAGGTAGCCAAGATTTCCTTTTACAAATTACTAACAACGCTGGAAATGTTCAAGAAGTGCCTACAGTGGATTTTAAAGTACTATTGCAGGAATTCTTTAGGTTGAAATATGGCAATATCAAACAGAGACTTTAAAAAGAAAGAGAACAGTTACACATCTGGAAGAATGCTCCTGAAGAACTGCTTTCAACTTTTGTGTAGTGCTACCCAAAGGAGCTGCAAACAGTTACCTAGTGGGTTGAAAGTCTGTTCCTTTTTTAAAATCCTGGCCTTCCCAGATGAAGATGGTTCGCTCTGCTACTAAGTCCTTTTCTGATGTCAAAGGCAACCGATAAAACAATACAATTACTCCTATGGTGCCACTTCTAGAGCACTATGGGAACCATAGCAAAGGATTCTGGGTAACTTTGTAGTTGTGGGTTCTTTATAATTGGGTTGCTACATTTAAAAGACAATAATTACTGATTTAAATTACAATATGGCAGTTTTGCACTGAATTGTACATCCCTTGTGTCTCTATGTGTTTTTGCTGTGCAAATGTTATATCTTACCCATGTATAATTGTCATTACTCTAGTACATACAGCAGAGGATGTCTTAATCTGAGCAGACATCTGGTGATGAAAATTACAGCACTGCCATCAGGCATGGGGAATGCAGGAGAAAGAAAACAACAACTTTTAAAAAAAGTTTTTCCCCTGGATTGTGCCCATAATGATATTTTTCAAAGGAATCTCTGAAATATCACATCCCTTCACAGCAATATAAAGATTCTGTGATTTTGAAACCCTGTTTGCACAATTTAATTTCTTTATTTACAAAGTCCTTTAGATAAATATGCATCATGAATCTTAGGAATGGCAGGCCACATTTCTTGATTTGCAATAAACCTATAGTAGCATTGCAACACATCATATGCATATAAAGCTGTGTTTTAAAAAAATACAGTAAAAGGATTACACAGAGTCACTTCATTAAGTTGGGTGGCTATAGAAATTGCATAAATAAATAAATATAACATAGACTTTTGTAATGTAATTACTATTATATGCTTCTACATACAACATATGTGTCTATAGCTTTTCATCTACATCAATACAGCTACATAGGAATCAAGGGACATTGCCAATACTCAAATTGCAGATATTATAATGGTTAAATATGAATAAAATCTAGAACATCTAAATTGAGAACAAATCTCATATTAACACAGCATTTGAGCACTATACTCAAGTGTGATTGTATAAATATCTGTCAGTTAACAGACTATTTTCTTCATCTCTATTTAATAAAAGGTTATCTTCTCTATGAACAATATGTATCAACATTTACAAAGCTGAGCTATTATATTACATAAGTAGAATGTTACATGAATATGGTGTTATTATATGTTATTATGTGGAATAAAATTCTGTTAAGCTACTGGCATTTCAATTTTAAACTTTTTAATCAATTCAGCCTTTGTTTTTGTTCCTATTCCATCCTTCTCTGTATTTCAGAGATGCCAAAGATAATATAGTATACCATTTCTTATTACATCATGAGGAACATAGTACATGAAAATACCTGCTGTTGTTCATAGACTATTAAAATATTCAGTATCTAAATCAATTTCTATTGAGAAATAGAGTTTCAGAAAAACAAGTTTTTTTCCTTAAATGCCTACATTTTATATCTGCAGTTTTACTAAAGGTATTTTATCTCCTTAATTGCTACTGGTCAACAGCTACAGCTTCTTTTAAAGGATAGATTACTTCTTTGGTAGCATTATTAAGACTATCATAACTGCAGATACTAGTATAGACATTTGTCAGAAGTCAACACAGACCTGAAGGCACAAATAATAATAAAAAAAAATATTTGAAAGCAAAAATTTATTTATAATTTCAGCTTTGGAGTCATACAAACCTACAGTTGTTCTGTGCAGTTCACATTTAAAAAATTAAAAATAAAACAACATATTTCAGAGACAAAAAATACACCTAACTAAAAGAAAGAAAGAAACAGCAATCAAAGGGATTTAATTTGGTCTTTAACAATTTGTGGAAAAGTATTAGAGCAATCTCTAGAGGGATAGCATTCCAAAGCACAGGAACATGCTTCATGGGGCCCACAAAGTGATCCTACTTGATTGATGGGATCTGAAATGTCTCCACTCGAGCTGGTCTCACTAGACCAGTGGAAAAATATGGAAAAAGGCATTCCCCCAAGTAGCTGTGAAGGGCATTATAGTGATAACCAGGACCTTGAATTGCAGCCAGAAGTCAACTGACAGCTAGTGCAGTTTAAAAAATGGTAGGTGTATGTGCTCGTATCACAGCATACTTAATACTGCATTCCTGCAACACTGCTCTGGACCAGTTGTAATTTCCCTGTCTTCAGCAAGACTGAGAAATTACATGTAGAGTGACCAAGGCTTAAGGATCTCCCTATCCAACAAGGACGTACCAGATGAACCTGTGCAAGGGCCTCCTTGGTCACAGCTGCTATCACAGAAGTGGTGAGTGCAAGAGGATCACTAGATTGCACTAGTTTCACATAGGAAGTTCAAACCCATTAAAAACTAAAGATAAAATGTCCCCAGAACTGGAGGTGGGGATGAGGGGATCAAACAAACAGCCATTTTGTCTTATCAGGACAGAACCTGAGTCTATTCCTTCTCACTCAAGCCTGCCTAGCTTCCAGACACTTGGGCAGGTCTTCAAAAGCATCAATTTGTTGGCCCAAGCTCAAGAGACGTAATTAGGTATCATCAACATATTGATCATACCTGACCCCAGACTGATGAAGTTACCAAGAAATTTCAGGTAGATATTAAACAAAAAGAAAGAAAAGGTCAAGCCCTGTAGCACCGCTGTTTAAAGGGGATGCTGAGAAAAAAAATTAGAATTGGCACATATTTAAATATTTTGCCTGGATTCTCACATCTATTTTATATTATTTACTTTTTTTGTACAGCATTAATGTTTCTTATATGTTATGGCTTATCTTTTTATGTATTAGTAATACCAGCAAGAAAAAATATGGTGTATTATATTCATATCATGTGTCATATTTATGCCAGAAACAATACACCAAAAAGGGAAGATCCAAGACAAAAAACATAATTAATGAATAACTGCTGATTAACATTATTTTCTTGTAAAACAAAGTAACTATATTTATAGAATCAGCTGATCTTGCATCTACACGTAGCAATCACTCTCTCACACAAGTAAATATTCTCATATATTAACACACAATTACTGTTACAGAGAAATGTACACAGTCTGCTTCCTCCATCCAGAAGAAAAAGAGGAATAAAACAGGAGAATGAAGAGAAGGGGTATGCACAGGGAAGGAAAAAAAGAAAAATCTTATTTAGGTGTGAAGAATGAAATAATTAATTGGGCAGATTACTCTAGCTAAGCAATGACGATTCTAAAGTGATTCTTCAAAGTTATCCATGTTTTTCGGCAGTACCAATGTTTGTAATCATTTATATCTCTTGCTTATTCCTTTGGTTTCTACAGATTTTTTTTTATTCTTATCAATTAATGTAAAGTTAATCCTTCAGAATCAGTGAATGTAAGATGAGCCCTTCAATTTAATTTAGGGAAAGGCGCTTCATACATTACTAGTCTTTTTTTGACCCAAGTCCTATTTTAGCTAATTAATTAATTGCATGAATATCATGCAAATTCCTACTTGCATGGAGGGAAGTGTATATCAATTTATTGGGTCCTGGATGATCAATGCAAGGTGGACATCCAACTGCATTTACATTGCTGGCATTATGTGGAAATCAGCTACAAGAAAGACATAGAAAGTCTTTTTGACTGGACTATGGCTTTCTAAACTACCAATACATGTGTGTTCCAAAAGGGCATTTATAGTGTTACTAAATCTGACTGTATTTAAAAGGAAAGGCCATGACACAATTCAAATTATATTCGAAGGTAGAGATATAAAGATATAAATGCACTTGCTGATTCCATGTTATAGCCCATAATTATATAAAAAGTAATATATCTTTATGAGCTGTAGGGATGAACCAGGAAAAAAATGCAAACTGACCAGTGCACAAAATGCTGATCTTTTATGAAAATATGTTTGCCTACTAAAGTCAGGGCAAGTACCATAATTATAAATGCATTCAGACATTTCAGTGGCCCTTTGTGTATAATCTATAGGAGATTTTGTAAATGTGATATAATTCTTTACATCAATTATCAGGAGAACCTGTCTCCATGGCTGCCATTTCTATTTTCATATAACTGATCCAGGAAAATAAATCATATGAAGCGAAATATGTATCGCTTGAGAAACGAACCAATTACAGCCTTGTCATCTTCGTATCTTGCCACTTCGTATTCAAAAGCATCGTGCATCAACTTGATCTTTTCGGACAGATTTGTGAACCATCTGCATGATTTCAGTAAATAATATGTCCAATTTCAGGGTGATTTTCAACTTTGTTTGGAACTCATAGGCTTACAATTACAGCCCTGCACATTTAATTACTAAACAGATTTTTGTCATATCAAGACTACAACAAACTTTTACCTGAACAGTTTGTTTGCTGGCCTGAAGTTGCTGTTTCGTTAAATGCAACTGGGATATTAATCTTTTATTTGCTTCTCTGGACTTCTTGAGAGATGATACTGCTGTTCTTTTTGATTTCTGTACTACAGTTAACTGCTGCTGTAAAGATGTGATACGTCCCCAAAGTGACACGGAGGAGCCAGGTTTCTGGACCATGATACTTCTTATCTTTTCTCTGTTAACTAAACAAGTTAATATTGACCAATTACTAATTTGACACTACAAATCTGTTAGCTTCAAAAAATGGCTTTTTTTTTTGCAAAAGATTTTCAGCAAAACATCAAATAGAACCAATCCCAATCTTCCCTTGCAACGAAACACAATACATACTGTACAGTTGCAAGGATATATTTTCATATGCCTTAATGGCAAAATTGCAAGAACATTATATTTTGCTGGCCAAAATGGTAAACTTGCTTCATTTATGAGTTGCTCCTCTTCATCGTATTATCCAGAGTATATTAACTTAGCATAAGTTAATATACAAACAACAAACAAGTAACTACATTGCAAACTATATTAAAAGTCTAAATTTTTTTGTAGTCTCCTAGTGAAAAATGTAACCTGAAACTCCCCAAAAAATTCTATATACGCCATAGCCTAAAAGTCTGTGAAGTCTTCTTCTAAAAGATGAAGTAGGCTGAAGACATTGAATTTTAAGATGAATGAAACACATGTTTTTATTTAATATTATTAAACAACTATATCTGCCTGGCCCAGGTCCTTGGAAAGGGCTCAACAGATGGACAAAAATGCTAAATCCAGTAAAAACATCTGGCTGACTGTACAACTGGTCCCAGAGGTTATCAGTACATTGGATGCCATACCGCAAAATCTTGGACAGCGCTTAAAAAATATGAGCATTGACAAATTTTTCATCCATCAATTAAAACAGGCTACAGTGCTTGGATCCATAGATATATTTTGCCAATCCATTAAGGTATTCTAGTTTAGGGGAAGAATTTTATGCATATGAAGGGTAACATCAGCTAAAAGAACGGGTAGCTGTGATTTCACATTTTTATGTATATACTGTAGTAATAATAATCACAAATAATTTTTTTATAATTTTAAGATTGGAAAAAGGTTAGAGTACTATTTTGCAGTCTTTTAAAAATCTGCTTTCTACTCTGAGTGAGGAGCATAGCCCATAAAATCTGGGGTAGTGAAGGAAATAGCTTTGAGAATACATAAAGGCAGTAGAGGAAAAAACCCTACTTATATTAAGACAAGCTTAAGAAGCATAAAAGCAGGTACGCTCTCAGCAACTAGTCCATCCCACTTTAAGGAAATTCTTTTTACTTATTGATGTGTTCAGTTGATCTCTGATGCTGTTAGAGAGGTTTGAAATACAGCATCCACTGTGGTCTCAATTTGGCACTTTTTAAGCCACAGTACATTGTCTGTTTTATCCAGCTGGTGTTATGTTGAAACCCCTGCTAGTTCAGACTGAAGAAATTGGTCTCAAAGTCCTGACTACTAGGGATTAGAGAGGGAAGGAGAAAATATATAAGCAACCTTCTTATAGAAGGTTTTTTAAATAAAAAAGAGGGGGAGGGGAGACACTGACAAATACACTCCTGATGACTGGAACTCTATTATAGTTAAACTGCCTTTTCTTACTATAAGGGAATATGAAATCAAATTACCCTAATTAAAAGGCATGATTTTCTTGCTCTTTCTTGGAGAAGAGTAAATTTCTTTTCTTTAAATTATAATGATCTTGGTGCATCTATTTTATTTTAGATATTTGTGAGCTATATTGATGACTTGTCAATCCAGATGCTTTCTATCCACAAATGTAAATATAATTTTGCTATTACAAAAGATTTTATGTATTCTTACCTTTGTAAGGATTGAATGCCGAATTTAGAATCTTTTTCCTTTGGACAGTTGTTACTAGTTCACCTTTGTTTTTCTATAAACACAAGAAAATTATTATATTCATAGGATTTACATGTTTCCACAAATACACACATACTATGTATGTGATTGATACATACATACATACATACATACATACATACATACATACATACATACATACATACATATGTAGGTCTCTAGTTATTCGGGTTTTCTCCCGCGTAAAATTGGAGATGTCTTGGCGACGTTTCGACAAAGTCTCATTCGTCATCTTCAGGCTTGGTTCAGACTACTTCAGGTTTGGTGTTTCCAGGAGTAGTTCCACTACTTCTACGTGGGAGAAAACCCGAATAACTAGAGACCCATATATATATGTATGTATGTATGTATGTATGTATGTATGTATGTATGTATGTATGTATGTATGTATGTATG